AGGTGCTTAACCTGCCGTAAGGTTAAGGCCGAACATCAGAGGCCGCATGGTAAGTTGCAGCCATTGGAGGTTCCCGAATGGAAATGGGAACAGATCACCATGGATTTCATCACCAAATTGCCAAGGACTTCTCGGGGAGTTGATGCAATTTGGGTGATTGTGGATAGGTTGACGAAGAACGCTCACTTCCTTGCCATCAGTGAGAGTTCTTCCGCAGAGAAGTTAGCATAGATATATGTGAGGGAAGTGGTATCGCGGCATGGAGTGCCGATCTCGATTGTCTCCGACCGGGACGTGCGTTTCACTTCCAGGTTCTGGAAGAAGTTCCATGAGGAGTTGGGTACTAGGCTACATTTTAGTACCACATATCACCCCCAGACAGACGGACAAAGTGAGCGGATGATTCAGACCCTCGAGGACATGCTCCGAGCATGTGTATTGGATTTCGGGGGAAGTTGGCATACGTATATGCCGTTGGCCGAGTTATCTTACAACAACAACCATCATTCGAGCATCGGTATGCCACCCTTTGAGCTGTTGTACGGGAGGAAGTGTCGAACTCCCATTTGTTGGGGAGAAGTCGGACAGCGTGTTATGGGCAACACGGTGATAGTGCTTCAAACGACAGAGCAGATCCAGCAGGTCAGACATAGGTTACTGACTGCTCAGAGTCGACAGAAGAGTTATGCAGACAGACGCCGGTCCGAACTTGAGTTCCAGGTCGGTGATTTTGTACTCCTGAAGGTCTCTCCTTGGAAAGGAGTGATCCGATTCAGGAAGAGGGGCAAGTTGGGGCCCCGATACATGGGACCATTTCGGGTAGTCGCAAGGGTAGGCAGGGTAGCCTATCGCTTGGATTTTCCAGAAGAGTTGGGGTAGATTCACGACACTTTCCATGTGTCGCAATTACGGAAGTCTATAGCCGATGAGTCGACAGTGGTTCCATTAGATGATATTCAGGTAGATGCGAGCCTGAATAATGCTGAGAGACCAGTGGCCATCAGAGATCGGAAAATCAAAGTTCTGAGGAACAAGGAGGTACCTTTGGTCTTGGTTCAGTGGCAGCATCGGAAGGGGTCCGAGATGACGTGGGAATCGGAGCGTGAGATGCGAGAGCAGCATCCAGAGTTATTTTCAGAGTGAGACTTCGAGGGCGAAGTCTAGTTCTAGTGGGGGAGAATTATAACAGCCCGGAATCTCCAAGTATTTATTTTGGACTTATTTATGGAATTGTGAGTGGACTCGGTGAGTTGGAGCCCAGAATCGCCGACTTGGACCGCGGATTTGGGCACGGGTTCGTGTCCGGACTCGACGAGTCCAAGAGTGGACTCGGCGAGTCCATGCTGTGTGATGAAACCCTAATTTCCGAGGTTTGAGGCCTATTTAAAGGGCCTTATGGCCGTCATTTGTGCTCACCCAACCCTTGAGTGCTTGAACGTTTTGAGAGAGTAAGGAAGCATTCTTGACCTTGTGTGTGTCATTTAGCAAAGAAGGAGAAGATTCTAGGCAAGAGGAAGCAAAGGAGGTTGCTATTTCGTGGATTTGAAGCTTAGATCATCAATCTAGAGGTATGATTTCGGTTTATATTCTGTTTTGTGAAGTATTATGGGATCTAGGGTTTCTTATGGACATTTATGGGATGATTTGATGCCCAATGGTTCCCTCCTTGTGTTGAGGTTTTGGATCTGGATCCATAGAGGTCCAGAGAGCCTCACTCATCAAGCTTTATGTATAGCAATGGAGTTTATGACCTTGTGTTGTAGTATTTGAGTCAAAAACATCATATATGGTCATATAGAGATTGTATGTGCATCAAGATTGTAACTTTACATGCTAGATAAGCTTGGAAGGACTGGATCTATGGGTTAATGGACTGGATCTGACCTTATGAGCAAGTTTGAGTCATTGCATGGCACGGACTCACCGAGTCCGAAGAATAGACTCGGCGAGTCGTATGAATGTTGTCCGACCACACAGCGAGTGGTCTTGCCGAGTTGGGGAGGGTTGACTCAGTGAGTCATGGGGAAATCAGAGTGGACAGGTGGACTGAGTCAAGCTGGACTCGCCGAGTTGTTCTTGAGACTCGGCGAGTTGAGTCGTGGTGGTCCTACAACTCATGCCAGGTGGAACTCGTCGAGTTAGAGAGAATGCTCGACGTGTCAAGGGAGGATTTCGGGGAAATCAGTGTATACGCTCAGACTCGCCGAGTCGCCCTAATGCACTCGCCGAGTCCGGTCAAAGTTGATCGTTGACCGTTGACCAACGTTGACCTAAGTTAACTTGTTAAAGTGTAGTCAACCTTAGTAGGGAAAGTGTTAATTAGAGATGTATTGTGATTTAGGAGGACTTTAGCTCGGGGGATCGAGCACTAGTGATTTCAGGAATTCACGACTTACCGAGACGCGAGGTGAGTCTTCTCACTATACTTTACCTTGAGTAGGTGACCAGAGTTATGTGATAGAGTATTTGTATGCTATGTATGTGATGTGTTGTACTGCATTATTTCTATGTGATTTATGTTGTGCATGTTTACAAAGTTAGAACCTGAGGGTTCACAGAGTTTGGGTGCACGGACCCACGGAGTTATAGCCTCGAGTGGCTAATATGTGTTTTATGTGGTATTTTGGGGAACTCGCTAAGCTTTGTGCTTACAGTGTTTGGTGTTATCGTTTCAGGTACTAGTGACGACCGCGGGAAGGCGCCGGCTTGATCCGTACACACACTTGGAGTTTATACATTTAGGATCTTGGGATTTTGTATTTACTTGCATTGGATAATTAACTATGGATGTTTTATGAATATTAAATGAATTATGTTTTACGAAAATTTGAATTTTTTTTTTTGAAATTTACGGTGTTACACCAGCCAAATCTAAATATGAGACAGTAGAAGTGGTTGTATGTGGTGAAGGATTATGATTGTAAGATTCTATATCACCCGATGAAGGTCAATGTCGTGGCTAATGCCTTGAGTCGCAAGTCTACGAGTACACCTATCAGAGATTTGTTTTTAAGGATGGTTATTGTTTCTCCGTTATTTGATATGATCAAAGAGGCACAAGTGGAAGGGTTGAAAAAGGAAAACGGGAAGGAGGAAAGGATCAAGGGTTAGATTCTGCTATTTGTCAGGGACAGTTGAGCTTTATTAACTCAGTGTGGTAGGGTTTGGTTCCCGGTTATTGGTAGGGTTAGACAGACACTACTAGAGGAGTCTCACAAATCGAATTTTTTAATCCACCCAGGGGCCATGAAGATATATAGGGATTTGAGGTTGTTGAGTATTTGAGATATTGAAACAGATTTGATATGTTTGGTTATTTAGGGAAGCGTTTTTAGGTTTAATCGTTTTATGATTTCCTATGGTGCCTTTACAGTAGAAGTTCTTCATCGAGCTCTACTATGACATTGATTTTATATTAAGGCATTGGTTTTATATTTATGGTAAATATTTTATGTTCGCTATAAATAATCATTAGGTTAGTTTTTTATGTAAGCTTTTTCCATATTAGGGTTTTCTTTATGCGTTCATATCATAATCAATATACACAAAACCGTTATCAGATTACTTGCATATTATGGTGATTGATTCTTGATTGTTCTTGATATTTCGCATTCACCATCTCGGATTTATTCCTAACAAGTGGTATCAGAGCGGGTTCTTGTAGATCTCAACGATTATTGCAATAATCGATCTTGTTCATGGTGATATTTTTTCATGAATCTCACATTGTTCTTCAAGTTTTGTAAACTTTCTGGAAAGAAAAAGTCTAATACCTCGTTTTATTGCAAAATCTTATTCATATCTGTTATCTTATACTCATTTTTTCCATCTGATTTGTTCTTGAATTGTGTTTTGGAGGAAAAAGAAAAAGAATTTCGCGTTTTGTCAAAGTATTTGGGTTCAGATCTACTTTATCTCTCTAAAAACCGTCTAAAATCTGTTTTCTCTCTAGAATTGTTATCAGATCTACTTTCTCTCTCTTCAAGTTTTCTTTCTTGTTGAAGATTTAATGGCGGATTATATTGTGTTAAAAGGCATTAAAAGACTAGGATTAAAAGTTACAGATCCAAAGTTTCTTCTTAAAGAAGGATATTTTTGTAGGATGTTCCTAAGCAATATATGTTGAAGAATGCCATTGAGATGTATAATCTCTATGTTGATGAGAAAATTGGTGATTTCACACAGATTTCTTGTGGTGGATTTAAAAGTAATCGTGTAGAGGAAGATAAAGATTTGTTAAAACAATTTATCATTATCAAAGAATATTTACTTTTGAAGCGAATTCAACAGAAATTAAAGAAAGAAAGAACAAGAAGAACAAGAAAAACAAGAGTAAAATAAAGAAGGGTTGGATGGCTAAGGTACAAGTACCTAATGCATGTGAAAAGGTTCAGGAAGCTAAAGTCAAGAATCTTCAAAGAAACTTCAATTCTTATTTTTCTTCAAATAAAGATGTTATAAGTTGGAGGAAAGAGAAAAGAATATTTGATTGGTTTAATGAAGTTTTTGGAAAATTTTGTTTTCCAACTAAAAAGCGGATATTACTTTCAAAGGATGATCAATTTTCTTCAAATAAGTGGATGTGCAAGAAACCAACTTCAATATTAAATGAGTACCAAATGTGTCTTAAGAGTTTTGACCTTTATAAAAAATAAAAATAAAAAATGGTGACAAAATTTGATGAAATCTGGTGATAATTTATTCAAAGATATGAAATTGTGTGGAAGAAATCAATTCTTATTGATTTTTAATGGTTGGTAATGATAAAAATGTGAAAAGTTGAAAAAGTGGGTGGAAAAAGACATTTTCTGCAAAAAAAAAAAAAAAAAAATGGCGCTGTCATCTGACATATTTTAGCAAAAGGGGTGAAGTTGTCAGTATACTACAATTAGGAGAGTCAGATTCGGAACTATTGAAAAATGGGAGTTACATTCGGAATTTATTGAAACTTTGGTCATAATTTGTTAGTTTCGGATTTATGGGCAAAATCTATCATTTTACTAAAAATACGAGGGTTGTTTTCGAGCCTTTAGCCAACCAGTCGTGGTTGTGTTCATTCCTGTAAATCGGAGTTGTATAACCAAAGTCACAATCGGAATCTGAGCCTTTGTTTGGAATTAACTCTCACGAACGTCAAATGCGAACCTGTGCTCTCGAAACCGACTGACTCACTTTGGGGATGTTCGGAGGTTACAATTGAATTCGGAGTTTTGGATTCGGCGTCGGAGTTCTAATCTCACAGTTGAATTCGAAGTACCCGGTTTTGGATTTTACCGTCCGTCTCCGAATACCTCCGAATGTTCGGAGGCATTCGCAGTACTAGGTTCGGATGTTGCAACCGATTCGCTATCGGACTTTCAGTCTCAATATTGAAATCGATTCGGAAGTACATAGGCGATCTTCGTATACGAAAACTGCAATCAATATTCGGAGCTTCAGTAGTCTGCTCGGAAACTGCTTTCGTAATTTTTAGAATAAAGATTAGCAATCGGCATCAACTGTAAACGAACATTCGGAATTTAGAAACCACAATTGGAACTTCACAACATGGATTCGGACTCTTAATTGATAACTCAACGTCTCATCATCGGAAGTTTAAATCAGAAATCAAAATCAGAATTGAAGAACGCGACATCGGAAATTGTTGACTGCATCATGATCGGAATTACTAAAGAAATTTAACATCAGAATCAATTGATGTTTCGGAATTGTCTATTTGAAAGAACGAATTTGTTTCGTATCTGTTTTGACTTTTTAAAGTCATAGAAAGCGTCGTCTGTTCAATTATTGAAGATGATTCAATTTACGAATTCAGTCCTCAGAGGTTACACATTTTGGTAAAAATAAACCCCATTTCTAAATCCATTAAAAATCCATGCGTTTTATCATTAGAATTTTCAAAACTTGACAAATTATACCCAATTTCTTTATTCTTCACAAATTATTGGATTTTACCATTTTTACCTATTCTTACCAAAATATTTTCAGTTCTTATCATTTTCTTTGGTCTTATTCTTTATAATCCCTTCTAAATAATTGCTTATTATTCTATTTTTATCTAATATTTAAAAATCGAAAAATAAAAATTTAATTTTTGTTATTTTTCCGGTTTTAATTTTTGTGAATTAAGTATATTCTAAAAAGATTTATTTCATCTAATCTGACGGGTTTTGAAGAGTGTTGATGATTCTTCTTAACTTTTCGGATTCTCTCCATGATATTTGTTGAAGATTCAAGGGGGAGTGATGATTATTCAAGGGGGAGTTCGTATTTGGAAAATGATATTTGTTTCTCTCGCTTTGAAAACCCCATGTGTTGATGAGTCTCATAATTTAGGGGGAGAAATGCCAAGAAGATCGAAAATCGTGATCTTCATTGGTTTCAGGATCTAGGGGGAGATTGTTGAGTATTTGAGATGTTGAAACTGATTTGGCATGTTTGGTTATTTAGGGAAACCTTTTTAGGGTTAATCGTTTTATGATTCCCTACGGTGCCTTTACAATAGAAGTTCTTCATCGAGCTATTCTAAGACATTATTTTTATATTAAGGCATTGGTTTATATTTATGGTAAATATTTTATGTTCCCTATAAATAATCATTTGGTTAGCTTTTGATGTAAACTTTTTCTAGATTATGGTTTTCTTTGTACGTTCAAATCATAATCAATATACACAAAACCTTTATCTGATTGCTTGCATATTATGGTGATTGAATCTTGATTGTTCTTGATATTCCGCATTCGTCATCTCGTATTTATTCGTAATAAGAAGGATAGCTTGGTTTGTAGAGCGGTGCTTGACTTCCCAGAAAGTTAAGGTCGAACATTAGATACCCCACGACAAGATGCATCTGTTACCCATTCCCATGTGGAAATGGGAGGAGATCACCATGGACTTCATTACGAACTTATTGCAGACAGTGCGAGGGTTGGATTTGATTTGGGTCATTGTGGATCGATTGAACAAGAGTATGCATTTTATCCCCATATTTGAGAGCATTTCTACAAAGAAATTAGTAGATATTTATATATGAGAGATTATTGCACTTCATGGGGTTCCCATATCAGTGGTCTCTAATAGGGATGTTTGTTTTACTTTCAGATTCTTGAAGAGATTCCATAAGGAGTTGGGCACTCAGTTGCATTTCGGCACATCTTATCATCCCCAGACTGAAGGGCAGAGCGAGTGAACGATTTAGACACTTGAGGATATGCTACGAGCATGTGTGTTGGATTTTGGTGGGAGTTGGGATTCGTATCTACTCTTACTCAAGTTCTTCTACAATAACAGTTAGCATGACAGTGTTGACCGACCTCCTTCAAGATGCTTTATGGGAGGAAATGTCGGACCTCAGTTTGTTGGGGCGATGTTAGACGTCGGGTTATGGGGAGTACTGAGGTAGTTCTCAATACCACTGAGTCGATTCAGCAGGTGCGCAGAAGGCTTCAGACTGCATAGAGCCATCAGAAGATCACGCAGACCGATGACATTCCAATCTTGAGTTCCAGGTTAGTGACACGGTGCTTCTAAAGGTGTCATCTAATTTAGGAGGTGGTGCAAGTTGGGCCCTAAGTATATTGGTCCTTTCAGGGTTGTTGCTTGAGTGGGCAGGGATGTGTACCATTTGGATTCACCTGACGAGCCTAGTCAGATCCACAACACTTTCCATGTTTCTCAGCTGCTAAAGTGTTTGGTTGATGATTTTGCAGTAGTTCCATTGGAGGATATTTAAGTGAACGAGCGTTTGAACTATGTGGAGAGACCAATGATGATTCTTGACAGGAAGACCAAGACCTTGCACAACAAGGTAGTGAAGCTGATGAAGGTGCAATGGCAGCACCGAGAGGGTTCTAAATGGACATGGGAACCCGATAAGGAGATAAGAGAACATTACCCAAAGTTTCTTGCAGCAGTAGACTTCAAGGACGAAGTCTGATTCAAGTGGGGAAAGTTGTAACACCCGTTCCTCAAGTACATTTCCTTATGATTTTAAAGTTTATATTTTTTTTTGGAGTTATGGATCTACACAGGGTGTAGATGACTAAGTATACAGGGTGTAGTTCATTAAACAAGGCACATGGGGTTTTATACCCTAAGTAGTGCGTAACGCAGGTCACACATGGTGTAACCGTGCAGGGTGCAAACCCTAATTGTGGGGTTTTGAGCCTTATTTAAGGACTTAAACTTATGCAGGACCTTCTTATGACCAACCTCCATCCCCTTTAGCCCCCATCTAGTAACCCTAACCCTTTGGAGAGAATTTTTGAGCTTATAAGTGATTCTTGGTGTATCTTCGTAGTGAAGGAAGGCCAAAGTTGATTATTGTTGTTATTATTATAGTTTTTTTTATTAATGGACTAGTTGTTAGACCCATATATTACATAAGTTAATTTAAAAAAAAAAAGTTAAATATAAAGGTCAAAATATTTGAAATTTGAAATTTATAAGAAAATAAGAAAAATAAACTATTTTATTAAATGAAGGGTTTTTTTGTCACATGTCACTCTCATTTAATTTATCAAATGTCATTTTGTGGTTATTTTGAATTAATTTCTTTTCCACATGTTATTTTATGAGTTTTTTCTATTTTAATAAATTTCACATAATATTTTAATGTAATAATTACAATAAATGAATATCAATTTATTAATGGGCTTACCTTATTATTTTGAAACTTCCAAAATAAAATTCATTAGTTTATTTATTTAAATTTAAAAGAAAAATCAATTTTAATAATTCATTTTCTTATTTTCTTATAAATCCAAAGTTCTTAAATATTTAGACTTTTATATTTAATTTTTTAATTAGCCCATGTAATATATGGATCTTACACCTAGTGAATTATTATAATGAAAATGTGTTTTATCTTTTAAATTTAAACAAATTAAATAAATAAAGAAAAGAAATTAATTAGTTTTAATTTTAAGAAATTTAAAATTAAAAAGTAAGGTTATTAATGAAACTATATCCATTTATTACTATATTTATTGTAAATATTATATTAAAATATTATGTAAAATTTAATAAAATAGACAACCTCATAAAATGACATGTAAAAAAAATATTAATTTAAAATAACTATAAAATAACATTTGCCAATTTGAATGAGATTATAACAAGTGTTAAAAAAAATCTTCATTTATTAAAGAAGATTTACTAAGAAAGATTATTATTGTTATTATATTAGATTGTTATTGTTATTTTTATTGAAAAAAAAAATTCTTAATAATTCTAAGAGATATTAATGTCCTCGTTATAATTGTAATAACTTTATTGTAGATTGAATATTTGAATTATATTCCGTCACGAGTTGGTAATGTCGTCATCTTGTTTTTTACTCGGAATATCCTATAAAGACGAAGCTTGAATGATATCGGTCTCACTACTAAACGGTTTAATATAATAAAATAATATAATTGATATCAAAAGAAAAAATCTAAGACAATGACAATATAATTTTTTTCGTATATAACATATTAGTTAATATAATTTATAAAAAATCATGTTCAATTAAAAAAAATCTTTAACAAAGTTAATGTAACATATAATCAATAAAAAATATTATTATTATTATTATTACTACATAATAATAATAATAATAATAATAATAATAATAATAATAATAATAATAATAATAATCAAAAAAAAAAATGAAAGTATTTTGGTCTGGCAATAGCCTGCAGTAAAATAGTCATTTTTGCATCCCCAATTCCCAATTGCATGAAGGAAGAGACCTTACCATTTGGGCAACTCGCCGGCTGGATTGATTGAGGGCAAAAACACAGGAACTGGAATGGAAACCATTTATATCCACACCTCCCACCACTTCGCTCACAGTCGACACATTCTTGTGCAGACCAGAACAATGTAAAGCCTCTCTTCACTACCTCCGCATAATTTCCTCCGTCCACCACCACTTTCCTCCGCCTTTCTCCATCCTGCTCTTCCACTAGCGCCACAACCACCTGAGTACAAACTTCTTTTGCGCTCCCCAAATTTGAGTCATCACTAAGCATAACCAACTGGACGGCTGGGTCACAAGACCCAATCATATACCTCGTCAGATTCTTGGGCACTTCCTTAGTACAATCCGTAAGAAAAACAAGTTCCGAAGTTGAGCTGCGATCCATCCAAAACAGGTTTCCACCAAGTGTTACGTTTGTGATTGAGGAGTTGCAAGTGATGGTCGGGTAATTCAGCAAGCGCATAGACCCTGCTTTATAGTCGATATTTTCAAATGAGTAGTAATTTCCAGATATATTAAGAACCGGGAGGCCATCGTCGTTGCAAACCAGCTCGAAACCCGGGTACCCACAATGCGGTTCATGTAAACCTCTAATGAAAAATGGAAATCTTATGCTCATACCATCGCCACAATGTTTCGGGACACAATCTTCATAGAATGGGTCCAAACAAAACGACCCATTGAAAATCACCAACAAGGTGAACAGTAATATCTGTTGTTTGAGTACTTGTTTCATCTGGAACCTTGATGAAAATAATCATGGGGGATTCGAAAAATGAAGATATGAGGGAGATAAAGGTAAAAAGAGATACATGTAGCTGATTAGAACGCACTATGTGCATGCTTTTAAAACACCGGACCATCGTTGGAATTATTGCAATACAAGTCTTGGTCGTTGATTTGTCTAGTGTTTTCTATGCCTTACTTTTACTTTTCTTTCAACTGTTTTGTTTTCTGTCCGTTTCGTCTTTTATCTTATTAGTTGATGAAACGACACGGTAAAAATACATGATACGAAATTAAGACGAAATTGAAATCTAAATTCATGTTCATGTTGTAGTCGTGTCAAGTTTAAAAAACACGATATCGTATCGTGTTTTGTTCGTGTTCAATTTTTGACACAAAATTAACACGATTTAGCATTTGTTTTTCGTGTTTCTTGTGTTTGTCATGTTATGTATTGTTAAATATTAATTAAATAAAATAATTGTAATTTTATGTTATCTTTGCCGTGTCCTGTCCTGATTGTCATTTTTTAATTTGTTCGTATTCGTGTTAATTAAAAAAAAACACGACATTGTTCGTATTACATAAAACATTAAAACATTGTTGTGTTACATTATTCATGAAGCCACGGTTGTAATTTTTATTTACTTCAACTATTTCGATCAACATAACCTCCAAAATTATGTGTTTAATGTTACAAGAATTTACTTGTATTGGAGTTATGTCTCATCTTAAAATAAATACACGAAAAAAAAAAACAAAAGAAACTTGATGCATTTGGTACAATATGGAATGCGATAATCACTTTGGTACAACCCTATATATATATATATATATATATATATATATATATATATATATATATATATATATATATATATATATATATATATATATATATATATATATATATATATATATATATATATATATATATATATATATATGAAAAATTTAGTGTAAGAATGTGATAAGACTTAGGATCCAACACTTAAGATTGAATGGGATAGTGTTGGTTAGGATTTGTTGCATGGTTGAGATTGATGGCAAGTTAAAAGCCTCAATGTAGCTCCAAATCGACATACAGTTGGCGATGCTTTTGTGTGCTTTTTCCCACCATGTGAAAAACGTGTGGCGAAGTTTCAGATTTGTAGGGACAGACAATTAGTGAACATTTCAATAATGTATTCAATGTTATTCTATTGGAAAAAGAATTGTTTAAGAAACTTGATCTCGAAAACTTCAACAGATGCAAGATAAAAATGGTTCAGGTTAGTATTCAAACTCCCGTGCAGATTTAATTTTGGTTATAGAGATGCTTAGGAGCAATAGATTGGGCAAATTTTGATTATAGGGATGTTTAGGAGCAATAAATGGAACATACATAAGTGTCCATGTATTAAAGTAAAACAAACCTAGATTAAAAAAAAAAAAAAAAAAAAAAAAAAAAAAAAAAAAGGTGATATAACAATGAATGTATTTGTTGCTTGCACTCGTGATATGCAATTCATTTGTGTATTACTAAGCTGGAATTGTGGGCCTCATCCATCAAAATCTGTCGCACTCCGCCCCAGTACGGCACCCAGACCCTCCCGTGCAAGGTCAGCAACCCGCGGCTATCATAGTTAAACGAGGCCACCTGGCCTATGATCCGCTCGCATTTCCGGCGCTTCTCCTTCAAACCCTCGACCCACATCTCTCGGATCCGCTCCAACAGCGGAGTCACTACCGTCATCCTCAAACAAATATCCCTGATCGGAGCTGCCTTGCAACTGAGCGCGTCGGCCACAACGTTAGCTTTCCCCGGGTGATAAAGGATCTCACAATCGTAATGCTTTACCACATCTAACCACCGACGATGCCTCATGTTCAAATTCGGCTGATCCATGGGGTACCTCAAACTCTTGTGGTTTGTGTAAATGGTACATTAGACCCCATAGAGGTAGTGTCGTCAAATCTTGATGGCGAAGACAACCGCCCCCAACTCCAAATCATGCGTCGGGTAATTCTCCTCGTGAGGCTTTAGTTGCCTTGAGGCGTAGGAAATGACATGTCATTTCTACTTCAATAATGCGCCCAAACCCGAAATGGACGCATCGCAGTATATTACAAAATTCTCCACGCCCTCTGGAAGGGCTAGAATCGGCGCCTCGCATATTCTCCACCTCAAAGTCTCAAATGTTGCGTGCTGCTCAGGCCCCCAGCGAAATACAACGGCTTTCTTCGTCAGCCGGGTCAAGGGCACGACTATCTTGGAGAAGTCCTGAATGAACCTTCGGTAATAGTCTGCCAATCCTAGGAAACTCCGAATCTCAGATGGAGACTTCGGAACCTCCCATCTCATCATGGCCTCCACTTTGGCCAGGTCGACCAAAATACCGTTCCGATTGACAAGGTGCCTGAGAAACTGCACCTCGAGCAACTAGAACTCACACTTGGAGAACTTGGCATACAAGCTCTCCCTCCGCAGGGTATCCAAAACCTCTCGCAGATGCTCTTCATGTTGCTCCTGTGTCTTGGAGTAAACCAAGATGTCATCGATGAAAACTATCACAGACCGATCCAACATCATCCTGCATACGCGGTTTATGAGGTCCATGAACGCGGCCGGAGCATTAGTGAGCCCGAAGGGCATCACCACGAACTAGTGGCCATAGCGAGTCTGGAAAGCAGTCTTATGTACGTCCTCATCTCTGACCCTCATCTAATGGTAGCCTGCCCGCAAATCTATCTTGGAAAACCAAGATCCCCCCTGAAGCTGGTAGAAGAGGTCATCAATACTCGGGAGTGGGTAACGGTTCTTCACTGTTACCTTGTTCAGGATTTGACGCAGACCATTGAGACTGTGGCGGAGATCACCGCCAAGTTCATGGAGAGATCCCTTCTTGTTCCGCAGTATGTCGTGGATGAGGAGATGAAGAAGGCCCGATATCACGAGATGCTGATGGATGACATCAGGGAGTTCGTGAGCAGGTCTGGTTGTAAAACGCTGGAAGATATGATTTCTCGGTCCAGGGAGAGGGAAATTGATTTGGAGCAGATCCAGAAGAGGAAGCCGGATGAGGTTCAGGTAGCCGCGAGTTCGGGCAAAAGGCCCAAGGGATCGGATTCGAGATCGAGGGATTATCAGGACCGCAGTCGATGCGGAAAGTGTGGCAGGGCGCACGGGGGCGCATGCAGGAGTGATAGTGGTGGTGAGTCTGACTACTTCAGGTGCAGTCAGACTGGTCATTTTAGCATAGATTGTACTGTTACCATCACTCAGGGATCAGACTTGATATGTTTTCACTGCAATCAGTGGGGCCACAAGAAGGCCCAGTGCCCCAGTTTGTTTTCAGCAGGACGAGTGATGGCACCTGCCCCTGCAACCTTGAGGATCACAGACGGCTGTCAGGGCCATGCAGAGGCGCCTGCGGTAGGAGGCCGGGATTTTCAGATGGTTACCTTGGAGACGCGAGCAGCGCCGGACGTTGCAGGTATGCGATTTCCGTTTCAGTTCTTTTGTTTGTGCGTGATGTTATAGTGTTATGGTTCTGCATCATTATCGGTATGAGTATTTTATTTTTTTGAGTGGTTTGATTGTGATCGAGTTATATGCCATCTGCATACCTTGGATATTTGGTTAGTAGTTAACGGATGGGTTCTATCGAAGAAGGTAACTTAGGGTGCAGTAACTGTAGCATGCCTTGGAGGGACTCGGTATGTCTCGCTAGTTCGGAGCCGTATAAGTTTTAGAAGTGGACTGGTTAGATCCCTAGCTATGGTAAACATGGGATTCCTCAGCAGATTAATTATGGAATGGTAGCAAGGATTGGGATTTCTATTCATTAAGCAGCGAGGTGTGAGCAGGATCGAAGTGGGGGAGAACCCTCCGAATGTACAAGGGTAAGAGCACGCAAATCCAAAATGAGTACGTGATTTCTGAGAAGGAAAAGAAGTAGTTCAGCGTTTGATGGATTGAGTAGTTCAGGGTTGGGAGTTTGAGAAACTCCCCATTAGTTCGAGTGTGTAAAAGGTGATGTAAGACTGCGGGTAAGCCGTAGCATTCTGTACTAGCTTCGTTGGCGGAGTCGGGGCGAGGCCCTTATCTCCTAGCATTCAGATAGGGATCGGGAATGGGTAATAGATGAGAATGGTAAGGAGTTGCCTGTATAGCCCTTGAGAGGTGAGACCTTGGGAGAGGCCGCTCTAGGATCTAGTCGGGTGAGACCCATGGGCGAGGCCCGTATGAGAATAGTAGTATAGGTGAGACCTAGAGCAGGGTTGCTTAGTAGTATGGTTGGGTGAGACCCGTGGGCGAGGCCCGTGAGTTTTAGCAGCACAGGTGGGACCTGGTAAGGATCATAGTGTCTAGATAAGGGGATCGGGGATCCCAGGAAATTGTAGTGCAAGCATGGTAGAATAGATTGCGCAGTATAGGTGGTTGAAGTTTCTTCGAATGTCGCTGGGAGCGACTAGTGGTTGTGTTGAGTCAGCGATCGGTGGGAGCCGGTAATGCAGATATTGATAGGTTGGTAGGGACCAGGGTGGTCTCAATTTATCTGGAAGCCAGATAAGGAATAGCAGGATTTCCAGTTAGTAGCAGTGCGAGTATGCAGCGTATGGTGGAATTCAGTTAGTCGATCGTGGAGTGCTCGACACCAAATGATAGTAGAAAGAATGCCCAGTGGATACTGGCGATGATGACCCGTACTGGGAGTAGCGGGAGTAATACATTTGGTGGAGATAGGGTCTTCACAGTGGCAGAGGAGATAGATGGTTATGGAGCATCGCCTTGGGAAGGCAAGGAAATCGTGCAAGGAAAGAAGGGGTGAACCCCTACGGGGTCAGTGCAGTATTTGGAGATTACCAGAAAGATTGTCGGTTGAGTAAGTTGTGTTTCCAGAATGTTTAGGGTCAGGATGGACCCGAGATTATTATCTATAAGGATTGACATTAGTATGAATGACTGAGCGGAAGGCCAGCGAAGGTAGGCAGCTGGTGTTAGAATGAATGGTGGGGTATTGGAGG